CCCCTTGCTCAGCCAGAGCAGCCAACTCTCTCAGGCTATGTTTGCCCTTAGTCTGTGGCACCCTGAAGATTCTCCAACACACAGTAAACGAATGACACCAGTCTCACTGGCACCAGCATAAGGACCGTGGGACAGTGGTTTCCACGACAGGCTTCACGGTCAGGTCATCAGGCTGTCAAAACAGTTCGACTCGTCTCTGAACACAAGGCGACTGACAGGCATGGACCTGAAGGTGTCCCAAAAGAAGGATTCGAGAGCCAGGGCGACATGAGGCTGTTTAATAAATTAGAAATTTTGAAGAGTTTCTAACTTTTAAAATAAGTTAGCTGCCTTAACATGAATATTTAATGTGACTTAACTAGAAAAATGTTCAGGCAACTTGAGAGAGTTAAAAATAGTATCTAAGTCAACAGGAACAATGAACAAATGAAGTGGCCCGTCATGATCAGAAAAATGGTTATACTTGGCTAAGTCCGTGCTTTACACAGCAGCTACATGGAATCTCTATTTTTGGGGCAGAGAGGAGCAGTTTCATTTTAAGAACTCGATCTCTGGCAGAATTCACATTTTTAAGCAAGGTAATGCACACTTCTGTTCTCAAAAGTTGATTATTTTGTTTAAAATGCATAACATATGAATATTAAATCACAAGAACGATAGCAAACAACATCACCCAATTGTCATGTAGATATTCTTCCAAGGAAGAGAACTAAAAATATACACAAATACACTCAAACTATCCAGACTACATTGGGTGCTTTTGGAATTTCTTAAAAACTGAATTTATATTTAACCCATATGCTGCTCACATGGTTTTCCTTTTTATGGAAATGCAAGCTCTGTTTTAGGCCTTTGGAAGAAACTGAGTATCTGATAAGGGAAGGGAAGCAGCTTTTAACAGTTCCATTCTGAATCATGCTTGAAAATGACTTAGAATGGCTTATGAGTGAGACCCTTGCAAAAGGAGCCCCATTAGAACAGAGAAAAGGCAAGCAGGACTAAATTACGCAGTGAACATATTTTTCAAATATTTTGAAATAACTGCATTGACTTTTAGCACCAATGAAGGCTGAATATTATTTCTAAATAACCAAATTATAAAATATTTTTAACTTATAGTCAATGAGCTAATGCCTGACCTTACGATACTTAGCTAAGAGGGAAATACAAGTTAGTGGATGGAACTTCAACAGGAGAGAGAAGAAAGTTAGAAACAGAGGACTGGCCATCGCTCAGGGGGAGGGGAGGAAGAGGGGAAATAATTGGGATAGGAAAATCTATATCTATCCTTTCAGGATGGAAGCGGATGATCAAGGGTAGTCACTGCAAGAGAGGGTGGGACCCAAGGAGGAAAAGGAGGGGGGTCGGGCAGGTGCCCTTCATCCTCCAGCGCCCTTGGTTGCCAGGCGTCAGCCTTGGCAATCGGTGCCACTTGGAGGGACTAGCTCAGCTTTGCTTCTGGCATCTCTGCTCCTCTACCCGGGACATCTAGGTCTGCCCAGGACAACCAGTGCCAGCTCTTCTATCTCATGACTGGCCCCCTGCTCCCCAGAATAGACTGAAGAAGTAGGAGCTGACAGTGAGTTGGGGAACAAATGGGGGCTCTGGTTTCTGTTCTTCATGACTGGATGAATGAAAGGATAAATGAATGAACTTATAAACACCTCTTCACTTAACATACTGTGACTAAGCCGCCTTGGGAGAGACTAGAAAGATCAGGTGTGGAGAAGGTCATGGAAATTCCTGATTGCCATGGCTGCGTAGACATGGGGTGTTGATAAAGGTGTGAGGTGCCAGGCTCAGCGAGAAAACTCCAGGACAAATTGTGAAGGGCTGCCAAGGGCACAGAAGGGAACAGTGCCCTGGTTCAGGAAGCAGCATTTGAGCTGAGACTTGATGGACAGGAAGAACTAGGCATTCTGGAAAAGGGGACAATGTAGACGGGGTGGCTCGCCCTAGGAGAAGCGCATTACCATGCAAAAGTAGGAAAGCATTAGGTCTGCTGAAAGGGCTGACATCGGCCAAAGCTTAGATGGGTGAGTGAAGGGGAATGACAGACCGCAGGTTAGAGAGAGGCGGGCAGTGGAAGGCCTCGTCTTCTCAAGTTATTGATTCTTCTGGTGTTGTCCACTCCTTGACCTCAATCCCTACTTGTTTTCCAAGCTTCTCCAAGTCTCCATGGGTCCGTGGACCCTCAATAAAGATTCGATAGAAAAACGAATACATAGCTGGTGTTCATTAAGAATCGTTATGGGCCCTGTAAATAAACAAATCTCTCCAGCTCAGAAGTGGCTGAACCAACTGAGTGATGTTAGGAGTCAAAAGCAAATCACTGGCGAACTGTAGACATATTCACTATAGGCAGTTGTTTTCTCTTTCACATGAAATAATTTTCTAGACAGAGTTGCCTTAACATGAATATTTAATGTGAGAGTTCTCCAAACCCCAGGCTAAAGGGCTTGTAACCAAGGTAACCACTGTCATGTCATCAAGATAATAAATTAAGACATGGTTATTTAAGACATAACCAAAAGTATGTTTTTCCCCTTCACTGGTCTTTGCTACCAATTCTCACTGTTATTTAAGAGTTATAATAACATTGCTAAAATAACCTTAATGTTGGGTATTATTTTTAAAAGATAGACCTGTGGAGGTGTCCGAAGAACCATCATTCTCTTCAAAAGGATGCTGGGTGCCAAGGAGGTACTCTTTTCTACTGAGGAAGTGCCCAATTATTGTCATTTCTCTAGAAACCACGTGGTTTGGTTCATAAGTTTTAAAAATATATAAATCTCCAACACCCAATAAAAATATCCACTTCCCAAAGGCCTGAGAGCACAATAGATTTTAGGAGATGAAATAAACTCAGGCCCCCTTCTTATCTTTCACCCAAGCTCTGTCCTCTTTCATGCATTATAGAACATAAATTATGACACTTTTTTAAAAAGCAATAATGAGAAAGCGCTATTTTGACCAGAAAACAGAAAGCCTGTTCATGTAGAAGTACTTATGGAGAAAACAGCACAGTCTCAAAAATCAGTCTGGCTGCTGCTTCTCCTCAGGCGAAGGTGAATTTGGCCCCCTCGCTGGCTCTGTACAAATGTTTTGCATGGCCGAGCACCAGACAAGACAGAAAAAGCAATGTAAACTTTCTGCAAACTCACACCACTTAGTTGATGACATATATATATATTTTTTTGGTCTTACCTTCATGCCTAGATGTTTAGTGCTGGAGAAATAAAAGATAATGAAATACAGACTAGGGCACTGTTTTGACTCTGTGCTGGGTTTCACGACACCTAAAGGAAAAAATATCTCCTTCAACGTGGCCAAACGCTATTCTTCCAAGAACTGCTGATGATTTTTACACAGTGGCAAACGTCACCTTCCTGGTGTCACCAATTGAAAAACTGGTCTGCCCCTGGCAGTGTTACCGAGACCTAGCCTCTGCCACGATGAGCTTCTGCCTCCCCACACCCCTCTCAGCCTGAAAAACTACAGTCCTGTGAGTCTCCGTGACCGATGAGAAGAAATTAACTGCTAAAGAGAAATAAAACTAGAGAGCTAAACTTTCAGTCATGGAAATTCCTTAAAATCTTTTTTAAAAAATGTTGAAGTCTTCTGAAGGAAACATACATCAGTTCTTTGAAATATATCTCCAAACGTATCTCCTCCTTTCACTTTGACTGAGAACTGATATTATAGAATTTACACATCAGTGAATTCGTGTAGTCTCAGCAAAACCACGAAGCTTAGAAAACAGATTAAAGTACACTGTTCTAGCAAATAAGCCAGGAGCCATTATCAGCCCGGGCACACCATCTCTGAGGTTAGGATCTGGGATCTAGCTACCTCGGGCTATGAAATGATGCAAAGTCCAGCTGTGAGCACCATCTGCAGTCTAAGGAAGGAGGCGGGAAAGAAAAAGAAAAGCATCCCCAGGATGGAGGGCCCGTGCATGGGTTTCTTTATTTTCTTTTCCTTTCTTTTTTCTTTTTCTTTTCTTTCTTCCTTTCTTTCTTTCTTTCTTTTTTTTTTCTCTTTCTTTTCTTTCTTTCTTTTTCTTTCTTTTCTGTTAAGTCCCTGAAATTGTATAAAGCCTCATTTTTCTGGAGGGAGTATCTATAGCTTTCAGGAGATTTTCCACGATCCCTAGCCCTCCAACCCCCCTACACACACACACACACACACACACACACACACACACACACACACACAACCAGAAGGTAATCCCCAGGGGAAGCCTTCCCCATCGGCATCACAGTTCCTTGTAACCACATAATAAACTGAGGGTGTTTCACCCCACCGGAAAAAAGTTTTACTATTATAATCGGTAGGCTATTCATGCTTAAGCAGTGGTGCAATGATAAATCTCTATAATGACTTTAAATTGTAAAATTATCTTCCCAGTTCCATAGCTATGTTATATGCAGCGGTTATAGAAGGCGTTTCTCATATCAAGCATTAAAGGATACTTTACCGCATCATTAATTTAGTATAGACAAGCTACTTTCAATATTAATTAATGAAGGATTAACTAAACAATTTTGTTTGTTCTTCTAAAATTTCTAAAAACTTTAGGGGGGGGCGGTGATTTGAGGCATAGGTTGCTTTAAAAGAAACAAAAACCAGAAATCTGAGAGAATGCCTAGAAGCCGCCCAGTCCCAAAGTCAATACTTGGTCTTCAGGGGGTCGATGCTGAATGTGAGGTCTAATCCCATCACAGAGAAGCCTGAACACAAAAGGGACCTATAAATGAAGAGAAAGCCCCAGAGGTAGAGGATAAAGTCCCAGGGCAGCGGGCACAATCCCCAAACCCAGCTTGTGGACTGAATCAAAACCCAACCTGTAAAGAAGCTTAGCGGGAGAAAACGCTGGAGCTGAATTTTCCCTGTTGGCTTTGCTTTTCCCAAAATAGTCTGTGACACTTGCCTCCAAACACTGCACCCCACACAGGCCTTTTTGCTCAGGAGGGAGAGACCCGGGGAGAGTCACTTACCAGATGCAGGTGGCTGGTCACTGGAGGGGCTTCCAGACCCAGGGCCTCCCCTGCTGGAGCTGGGCGGCCTTACATCAGCCCCACGCGCGGGCTGGCCTCCACCTTCCGCCCCATCCGCCGCTTCTTCAGGCGGAAGGCCCACGCCATAGGCGCAGTGGGGCAAGGGTCCACTTTTTGGGGAACCCGTAAGGGGCTCCTGGCCCTCCGCAGGAGGGTTCCCACAGCCCGCGCAGCCATCTGCTGCGCTGGAGGCTGCCCAGTGCGGGCAATTACTGCCCTCCACTTCCTTCTGCAAGTACTTCTCAGAGGACATGGGGATCCAATCAGTCCCGCACGGGATCTCGGCCAAGTGACAGCTTTCGGAATCCGCCAGGTTCTCTGTCCCCGTGAAGCACTGGCTTAAACTGTCATTCTCCCCCACCTCCAGGGGCTCGGAGAAAGGGGGTGTGGATTTGCTGCTAGGCTGAGCGAGGAAGAGTAAAGCGTCTGGGGTCTGGGAGGGCCTGTCCACATACTCGTCCTCCATGGGCATCTGCTTGAAGGGGTCCTCCTCGACCTCGCTGACAGACGTGAGCATCCCAACATCTTCTCCGGCTGCACAGGGACCACTGCCCGCACACGCGCCCCCGCAGACACCACCGCCCACCGGACAGCAAGTATCATCAGAAAACATCTTCTCCTCCAGGGTCAGCAGTAAGACGCCGTCACGTAGTTCGCGCTGACGAGAGGCTTCCGTATGACCGCAGCTAAAATTGTTGCCTGAGGCCTCATGCTGGTTGAAATTCAGAAGGCAGAAGCATTAATACCCAGTTACTAGGACCTGGTTTTGCTAAACACTGCTGAAAATGGTGGTTACAGCAATTATTTCCACCATAACAAGGACAGATGTCGCACTCACTCTGGCACTCCGCGTTATTGAAAATTACCGAGTGGGGAAGAACCCTGAGATGGAAGACAAGCAGAGAGGAACGAATCTACCTGCATTTCCTGTGAACAGCACACTCGCACTGAAGAGAGGGGAAGGGCTCGCCCAACTAATTTTAGAACACAGAATTTTGACTATCTGCTCTCAATCTAAATTAAAACAAAACAAAACAAAACAAAACTCTAAAATACTGAACTCCAGTTAGTAGATTTGTTTCTTGCTGTGATGTGGTTTAGTAATTCTGAAACTCCTTTCTATGTATTCTGGAATTGAGTAAATGAGTAAATATATTGAAAATAATAGGAGGCAGATTTCACACTGTTGGAGAAAAGACAACTCAAATACAGAACAGAGACAGACTAGAATGTGGTGTTGGGATTGGAACTGGAGAAGTCAGTGTGAGTTTATAGGTTAAAATTTATATGTTTTATACCTACAAAAATAAGTGTAAAGGACATAGTGGGATAATAAATGAAATTTTAATATCAACTGTGGATTGGATTATAGTATCGTACCACTATTAAATTTCTTGATTTTGATAAATGAACTATATGGTTATGTAAGAGAATGTGCATGTTCTCAAGAAATTCGCAGTGACATATTTAAGGGTAAAGGAACACAGTGCCTGCCATTCGCTCTAAAATGGTTCAAGAAAAAAAAACATACATACACATATGCACACGTATAGAGAGAGCAGATAATAAAGCGATGTGATAAAGTGTAAACAATTGCTGGCCCTGAAAATACGGTATGTGGAAGTTCTCTGTACTATTCTCACTGCTTTTCTATAATTTTGAAATTATATCAAAATTAAAAGTTACCAAAATAACTACGAAGTAAAGAAAAGTGGAAGCTCCTTCCTACTAGGAATCTGTAGTAAGCAATCAAGATTGGCACTAAAAAAATAATATGATTAATACACATACCCAGGGGTGACAGAAAAGGAATACAATCATGGGAAGCAGCATTTAGGATGAGCACTGACCTGAGCTGTGGGTTATTCTGTGGGGATCGATCCTGGGATTCGAGGTTCCAACTCTCAAAGAGATTCCCCTTACGCAAATGGGGCGCAATATTTGACTAATAACTACATCAGCCTAATTGTTAAAAGGCCTTTAAGCAGGCACTTAAGACTTTTAAATTTACCTTGTTTTCACTTAGGCGGCCGCATGCCTCGTTGACCCAGTGCCACAAATTAGCTAGAAAAACAGAGCAAGGACAGGGCTTCGTATTATTATTTCCTACATCTAATTCAATATCACTGACTACTATGTCAGCTCAATATTATCTTTAAACATAAGCCTCTGCAAGTCTTTCCTGAGAGTGAAAACGTTCAGAAGAAAATGAACCAATTTAAAGACTATGGAGGCATCTTATCAAAAACAGAACTTTCTGATCCAGGTAAAGCAAAATATGGTTCACACATGTGCCATTGAATATACTTACAGGCACATTTAAGGGCTGTCAAAGCTGCTATAGGGTGACAGTCATTCTCATTCCCTTAGCAATTTTTCTTTGATGACGAGGACGAGGCTGGGCATTGCAGGGAAACAAAGATGATGTGGGTCTAGGAGACTGACCTTCGGCAAACTAGCTCAAATATATGTACGATAAAAGTCAAGGGCATGGGGAAGGCTGCGTCAGACCCCAGCGGGCCCCAAATCCTTTCCCACTCTGCCCTCTTGCTTTTTAGAAAAAAGAAAAATACGTTCTGTGGCATATACAAAGTGATGAAATTTAAGTCAAATCCATGAATTTTTAAAAATATTAATTTATATTATACAAAGATAAAGTTTTCCCCACCTCCACTGAATATTTGATGTTGAATTCACTGTAAAGACTGAAGTCAGGGAGCTGCCCATTCTCTCTCTACTGGAAGATGATTGGGCCATAACAATAGCTAAGGATATCTCCGACGTGACCTTGCCCAGTTTTACTTCTCTGAGCCTCAGTTTCCTCATCATGAAACTAGAGAAATGATAGTGCCTGCATCCCAGTGCTGTTGCGGTGATTTAGTTAGTGTATGTAAAACGCGGACAGTAGTGCCAGCAGAGTAAACATTCAATAGATATCAGTAATTGCTGTCATTATCATTTCTTATTCTTGCTTCTTTTCTATCGTTTTAAAATTATAGAAAAATAAAGATACTCCAAATAAAAGGAAAGTTGCAGCTCTTCTCTTGCAGGAATCAGCACTTAGATAATCCTAAATGGTACCAAAAAAAATATTTGTACACAGAGGTGATAATTATTCATAACTACTGTGAAAATCTGGCTTCTGGATGATTGCGAAA